ATTGATCATGAGTTGGAGCGTACTCAAAACTCATGCAGAGTTCATCAGTAATCATTCCCTCTTGGAAATCAATGATCATTAGTTGTTGGTTGTTTTCAGGCTGCTGAATGTCTTCTTGGACTTGTTGCTCAAGTTCCTCAATCCTTTTCTTGAGCCTTTGAATGTGATCATTTTGATTGTTAATGACTTGATCCTTTTGATCAATCAATTTGCTACATTCTTCCAGATCAACTTCTTTCAAACTTACATGATTCTTCAGTGTTCTGATCTCATTCTCATAATTTCCAATTTCTTCATTCTTTTCAGCTATCAGCTTGTTTTTAGAGTCAATTTGGGCATTAAGGTACTTGATGAGATCATCCTCATCATCATTAACTTCATCATTATCATTACCATCAACATCCATCTCAAATGCCACATTCTCTTCTTGATCATGTTGTTGTTCAACTTGCGGTGGATCTGCCAATAGTAGTGGGTCAATAGGGACATCTTCATTCAACATGTGGTCAAATAGTGCTGATTCTTGACCATGGTATACTGTGCTTTTAATGTTCCCAAAGACTTGTGCTTTGAGGTGAATTTGCTTAAGTTTAGGTGAGTCCCTTGGCAGATTTCGCAATTGATCATTGATCATGCACTGCAGGAATCTGGGATACATCGGGTACTTGTCTTTCAATCCCTTTCCTGGAGTATCCGATGTATCCCAGATTCCTGCAGTGCATGATCAATGATCAATTGCGAAATCTGCCAAGGGACTCACCTAAACTTAAGCAAATTCACCTCAAAGCACAAGTCTTTGGGAACATTAAAAGCACAGTATACCATGGTCAAGAATCAGCACTATTTGACCACATGTTGAATGAAGATGTCCCTATTGACCCACTACTATTGGCAGATCCACCGCAAGTTGAACAACAACATGATCAAGAAGAGAATGTGGCATTTGAGATGGATGTTGATGGTAATGATAATGATGAAGTTAATGATGATGAGGATGATCTCATCAAGTACCTTAATGCCCAAATTGACTCTAAAAACAAGCTGATAGCTGAAAAGAATGAAGAAATTGGAAATTATGAGAATGAGATCAGAACACTGAAGAATCATGTAAGTTTGAAAGAAGTTGATCTGGAAGAATGTAGCAAATTGATTGATCAAAAGGATCAAGTCATTAACAATCAAAATGATCACATTCAAAGGCTCAAGAAAAGGATTGAGGAACTTGAGCAACAAGTCCAAGAAGACATTCAGCAGCCTGAAAACAACCAACAACTAATGATCATTGATTTCCAAGAGGGAATGATTACTGATGAACTCTGCATGAGTTTTGAGTACGCTCCAACTCATGATCAAT